CCTAGGAATGGCTTACCTTCCTAGGGAGACCTATAAGGGAACAGTCACCCTTCCTAGGAACCCTGTTCGGTGATGTACAATAAGAGTCAGAGTGAGCTCCGAGCTGCTGATTGAGTGTTAATGATACGAGAGGTCTGGAATAGTGTATGTACGTGGGATTCTTGGCTCTTCCCAAATAGGAGTCGGGATCGCTGTCATATCCTAGGAAGCACCATCTGATTCAGTCCACAACCTATATGTAGGGCGGATTGCACGGCAGAGTTAGACACCATACCAAGGAGATATACCAAAGCCCAAGACAGACAACAGGGAATATCTCTGCTGCAACCCAACGACTACACAGTTGAGGTTTGGAACTTGTATTACAAACCTAGGAAGGCACTTGCTTCCTAGGAACAGTATACTGTATTAACTATCACTGTACAAACAGCTTCCTAGGAGCAGTCGACAAAGGTACATATAGGCCTCCTAGGATAGAGATACCTTCCTAGGAACAGTAATGACAACTATAAAGCACGGAACAAGTCTTCCTAGGAAGGCTCCCCTGAAGCACAAATCACAATGTTTGGAATGCATATGACCTGGTAATAGGTCTAGACCACATGTGACACGTGTCATGCTGCAAAGGCAAATACAAAGACAAAGCAACTGTATTTGAAATACATGTGGAAGCTGGTTTAGGAGAAACATATACCTGGGCATGTTGCGTGGCCGGACGGCCCTGCGGCATACCTTAGCTCAATGAAATGACCCAAGGCTTGGTGTTTACAAACCAAGCCACTTCAAAACGTCTTCACAGCAGGATATGCGTCGGCACGGCCGTTCCTAGGAAGAATCAGATGGCTCCTAGGAGTCATCTTGATGACTGTTTCAGCAGTTTCATCTACGAATCATGGCAGCACAACCGGCCATTTCTCCGAATTTCCAATACTCTCTACTCATTTACTCATTTCGTATTATTTCTGTTTACTCATATCTCATTGTCATGTATTCTCAAAGTAGTATAAACCCCAGCTAGATCCTGCAGTTCAGGAGGACATCATGCCCCAGTATTGCCCAGACTTTGGTCAAAGCACTGCTTGTCAAGGCATTGGTGTACTCTTGGGCTAGCTGCAGAGATTTGTTAACTCATATCTTCTGTATCTGTTCAATATAAGACCTTTGATTGTTGGCTACACTCAAAAGCTTTAAGTACCAAGCTCGCTTGTAGTGGCCGCTGCTAGTGAAAAGGTACCTCAGTTTGTATACTGAGGTCTGCTGTTGGAATCGTATGAATTGGTGCGGTCGCAGTACCCTAAAGGTACCTTTGTATACTAAGGTCTATTGTTGGAATCATATGAATTGGTGCGGTCGCAGTACAAAGGTACCTCAGTGCCTGAGAGCTGAGGTCTATTGTTGGCATTCTACAAATTGGTAGCATTGCAATACCGTCTAAAAGGTACCTGTTGTTTGTACACACAGGTCATCTGTTGAAACTCCACGAATCGGTGTGGTCACAGTCCCCTATACCTGTCATGAACAGATTTCTTATCTAATCTAATCAGACTTGATCTGAGCTTATCTGGCCTTATCTGATCTGATCGGACTTTGCCCTGGCTGTCCTTGACCTTATCCATGACCATCTGCACTGTAGATCAGAGCAGACACTATATTTAGTTACACTTACTGAGCGCTGACTGAGTGCTGACTGAGATCTTACTCATCTTTCCCATGAAGCTTACAGATCTCTTACAGATCTCTTACATATCTTTCTCATGCTGACTGATAGCTTACTGATCCATTGCATTGTTATTGCACCATCTATTGCACTTGTAGTAGTATATGCTTTCTCTGCACTTCTAAAGTGTATTGGCCAGTGTGTCTGACAATACCCACTCTTAGTGATTGCAGTAGCATCCTAGGAAGTAAAGCCTGTTCCTAGGAACACATAAAACCCATATAAACCCCGTTGCTTCGGTAACTCGGTAGCCCATTTCAGTTGTTTATCAACTATTGTTGCCTCCCACAAAGCCCTAAACAGACTCCGAAGTTTGATTCGTCCAATATCAATAGGTGTTGGTTCAATCTTAGTCATATACTGTGGCGTAGACCTGAACTCAAGTCCGCACTGTGTGTTGTGTGTGTGTTGGTTGGTTGGTTTGGTGTTTTGCATCACTCCATATCAGTTCTAGCATAGGTCGCACTCGAGTGCACCATTTCACCGGCCTGGTTGATAAGTGTACCAAGCCCTGCTAAGCAATAGCTGTTAAGCAGGTCCGCAGAGCCATCTGTCCACGCATATGTTATGTCCCAATCTGGTTTCCTGCACCAGATCCGAAATAGATTGATTGTGCTTGTCTTTGTTGTCTGATCTGAGCGCGTAGTTCGCAATCATTATGAATAAGATAAATCAAGTTGGACATCAAACTATGGATCCGCTGTGCTGCCTGGGCCTTCTGTGCGCTATTTATAGCCTCCATGGAGCATGCGTTCAATGTATCTCAACTTCCTAGCCTCAGCCTTTGCCTCAACTCTGTGGTTGGTAGTAGATTCAATCCTCGTCTCGTCTTCTGGGCTTTGTGTTTATATCTCCTTGGTACGTGTCTCACCTTTGCAGCGTAATCCGCCCCTACATATAGGTTGTGGACTGAGTCTGACAGTGCTTCCTAGTACATGACAGTGATCCTGACCCCCAATTGGTAAAGGCCAAGAATCCCACGAACATACACTGATTCACATAACACTCAATCAGCAGCTCAGAGCTCACTCTGACTCTCTTATGTATCATGGAACAGGGGTCCGCAGAGCACAATTAGCCTCAGCAGAGCACCATCCAACAGTCTGCAGACCCATTTCTGGACCCTTAGAAAGTCAAAAATGCGCAATTTCATGGCTAGACTAATCTGGGCTGTATCAGCGTGTAATTATTAAAAGAGGCCGACCCTGAGCTGGATTGGCTAAAAGAGGAAGACAGTTTAATGGAACTTGTACATTGGCCTGGGACCAGAGGTATGGGTATACTCCACAGGATCGGAGTAAGTAGGATCTGGTGTCAGTTCATGAGGCATGAATGCTGGAGATGGCAAACAAGTTAGGTCTATTGTGTTTGTGCTTGTGGTCGTGAGGCAAAAAGGTTCTGCAGCAGCGTTGCTGCCACCGGCAAAGGATGAGGATCCTGCATTGTTGTCACCTGCAAAAGACAATGGTCCTGCTACCATAAAACAAATTAGATGTGCTCTTGAGACTAAGCTGGAAACAACATACCCTGGCTCAACTCTTGAACAATGGAGTCACCAAAGATTGCTTGTTGAAGAAGGACTCAGCGAAGAGGGACTGGGGCAGATTTTCATCACTGTGGTTGTGGCAGATAACTGCAATTGATTTGTTATCAAATGTTTGACAAGAACCAGATTAATGTACCTTGATGGCACTTGAAGGGAACATTGTCTTCTTTTGTGATGGACTCCTCCTCAGACAGGACAAACTCTTCCTCGCTGTACTCAAAAGCTACACTGCTCAAGTGTTTTCCCTTCACTTTCTTCTTATTCATTATCTGACTCTCTGCCAACACCACAGTGAGCTGGTCAACTCGCTACAAAAGAAGTACTATGCTAACCTTGGTTCTCATCCTCTGAGGCTGTTGATCCAGACCTACTGGTGAATGCCAGTGCATTGTTGGTCCTCCAGCAGACCCTCTATGCAGGGAATGGGTACTCAAGATGCTATGTGGCGTGTGTGAGTTGTAACCCATCCAATATGATTCCGGCTCACAAATATAGATGTACTGATGTTGGTTATTGGTAGTGTTCTTAGGTCCTTGAGCATTCTTCAAGTCTTGACCAGTAGGGTTTGCAATCTGGACTATTTCTAGTTTTTGATGTGTTTGAGTTGCTAGCTAGCATCCAAGGGCAGCCTTCAACATTACCCCCAAGTCTGGGTTGGTGATTACTGTTTGTCTGCTTTGGTCGAAGGAGGCCATTGGCATGGAAAGATGTACCCCAAGCCTGGGCATCCTCTTTCCCATTGTTTGTCGCTGACCCATCCGTTTAGGCCACTATTTCTTCCTCATCGGGCTCCAGTTCTATATGCATGTTCAATGCCACACTTCCGCTCTGCAGGCCTTCACAAAATACCCTAAAGGTGTCAGTGAGGTTTCCTTCAGTGGTAATTTTGGGGTCAAAACAGGACTCATTTTTTTCAAGAGGGGCAAGGTTCTGTGCATCTTGTGTCTCATAGTCTTCAGGTTGGGCCCTCAGCGGGTTCCACTTGTCTTGGAGGGAGTCCAGAAGTTGCCTCGCCTTTGTTTGGCAGTCATGCGGGGATTCACATGTCCTGCACTCAATCCTTGTCTGGGTACAGCCTGGGCACGCACAGTCCCATCTATTTCTGTGACCAACTGTGTTGAGGCTAGCTAGCTTTTCCATTTCGCCTACGGTGAGGACTTTATGTCTCGCTTTAAGGCAGACGACCTCGTGTCCATGGTTAAAGATCACCTTGTTGTTTGTGCAGGATTTAATATCATACCAGATTGTGAGGCCCCGTGTTATTTCCCTGGTGAAGGCCAGTCCTTCCATTTTGACATTACATTCCATGGCTGTTTTTAGGTCATTCAGGTCCTTGGGTAGCTTGGAACACCTGCTGCTCCAGGACTGAAGGAAAACATTTAGGTGTAGGTTTTATCAACAACTTTTTTATCATTTGCTAATATGTTCAGTGCCTGCCTGCAGTTCATCTGCTGCGAAGGCCCATGGTGGGCGATCGGGTCCGAATTTCAGGTAGGACTTCAGCCATGTTATAGTAATAGCTTCGTCTGGTAACTATGTCCAACAGGTCTCGGCCACCCATTTCTGCAGGGACATATATTGTTTCCTTATTGATGCTGGGAGATTTCTTTTCATCCCACATGAAGGCACGAACTTGTTGTTTGATCTTAGTCTCAACCCCATGGGGCATTCCCTGTACCTTTGCAAGGTATTGTGTCATCTGTTGAAGTTCCTTCTGGGAGTTCCCTTCACACTGTCGGCAGAATAGCTCAGTTGGATACCTTCGGGTTAGAGCATCTCACATGAAATGAGAAGGTCCTGCCTGGGTTCAATCCCCGGTTCAGCCATTTTCCCAACATCATCCCCCCCGACAACCATTAATATGATGAGCTGATGACCTTCCATCGTAGGATTTTCTAGTTCCCATTGGTCTAGGCTGCATCTATTTTCTCGAGGGTGTGTGTCCAGGTGCTCACTTGGTGTATCTCATTTCCGACCCAGGCTCCCAATGTTCAGATTGGTTTCCCTTCCTTGGAAATTTTAATGTGGTCCGGAATCTTAGTTCCATCCACCCCATTCACAAAGCGGGTCTCATATATCTTTTCCCTGTGGTGGAGTCTCCTGACTGGTATGATTTCGGTTTTTTCTATATTGAGCTTGGCCCCTGATGATGAGTACCACTTGTTGAGCAGCTTAACAAGTGCCTCAAAGTCGTCCTAAGCTGACAAATATACTAGGGTGTCATCCACAAATAGAGTTGCGATTAGACGTTCTTCAGCTCCTTTGATGTTAAAACCTTTGAGGTTGGATTTCGGCAGGGATTCCACAAGGGGCTCGATGGCCAGATCAAAAAGTAGACATGAGAGAGGATCTCTCTGCCTTAGCTCATTACTTTGAAGGGTCGGTCACTGAAGACACCATTTATTGCTACAGACGTCATGATTGTAGAGCGCATTCACTGTATTTATAAATTCATCTGGGATGTCAACAAAACTCCTCAGGGCTTTCCATAGATAATCATGCTCGATCTTGTCATATGCCTTTTCCTGGTCGAGTGCAACTATTACACCATGGACCTCAGTGGCTTCTCCGAGGTCAATAATTCTTTTGATTAGCCAAATCTGGTCATAGATGTGCTGACCTGGGACAAAGCCTGCCTGTGCAGGGTGTATTAGGTCTGGGGCTATGCATGCAAGTTTAATGGCAAGGGCTTTTGAGAATATTTTATAGTCTGTATTTAGCAGAGAGATCGGCCGGTAGTTGGTGATATCCGCCCGGTTATTTTTCTTGTGTATAGGGGCCATCTAGTTTTTGGCAAATCTCATTCCTTCTACCATCCCATGTGATTCAACGTTGTTGTAGACCATTTTGTAGGGTACCTACAATGTCGAATGCGGGTTTATCCTGGGACTTAAATGTGTTGTAGTGTAAGTCTATAATTTTCCATATTTCATACATAATTCTGTTTTCTCCAGGCACTCTGTCATTAGCTGACATCTTGAGAACCTCAACAATGTCAGCTCTCATGAGTTGACGTCTCAGGACCTCAATCTGTCCAGGTGTGAGCTTGCACGCAGTGCACCCAAGAACCTTCTCAATGATTATTTCTCCCGTATTTGGGGCCAGGTTACGTTGATCTTTCTGGATCTGGTTGTGGTAGTTCCTGGCTATGTTTGCCATCTGTCTCGAGTCCATCTTGTAATGTACAGCCCCATTCGCTGGTGTATCCCCTCGAGGCTTTTTTAGGCGGTGGATCACATCACGTGGTTTTTTGGGCTTGTTTATCAGGGACCAGTATTTGCTTATAACTTTGCCTTCAAGTCTATTTCAGATCTGGGCATTCATCCTTGCTTTCCTGTGCCTCTGTACATGAAGATTGACACTTGAAGTTTCTCTGTGAGGATTGCAGCGGAGAATTGTTTTTCATCATCCAACACTTCTGGGTCTCCTAGGATTGTTTCGAGCTGAAGCTCAAACTGTTTTATTTCCTTTGTTGTCTCGGGATTATGATTTTGGCTCTAGATCTAGCTCGCAAAACGCAGTCATTGACAAATCTATTCCAAAGTGTCTGTGCGTTATAACCTGGGCCCCTGACTGGGTGGCATAGAATCTCTTCCATCTATGCTAGTAGTGGTATTCCACATTCTTGGATGAATGCCGACAACTCCTTATCTTTCATTATGTGTTTCTGCAGGACCCCTCGGCCTGGCCGTGGTGAGACGTGTTGAAACCATTTTGTGGTCTGTTTTCACTCCAACTGTCTAGATGGTCCATTCATATGTTTGTTCTAATAGCCTATGCTTCACGTAGATGCGGTCGAGGCGGGATTGCGAACCCGTTGATTTCTGGTAGTATGTGTAAGCCTTGGTGGTCAGGTATGTGTCACGCCAGCCATCAGCGAGACCCAGGTACGATTTGAGGCTATCCAGCTCAGAGACAGTGGCATCAGGGTCTGTGTGTGCTGGGAGTTGGTCGATGTCATCCTCAACCACGTTCATGTCACCTCCCATTGCTTCGGGTTTGCGTACACCTGGGTTCTTGATAAAGAATTCCTTTATGTCTTTCCAGAATTTCCCATTCTCATCTGGGGGGTTGGGTGCATAGACCCCCAGAATCGAGAGGGGGTGTTCCCTGTGCCATTCTACTTCCAGAATCATGGCTCAGCCAGGAATTACTTGTGTCACCCACATATTATCTGTTCTCATTAGATTATTATTTACCATGAAGCATTCTGGGTGTTAGGGTTTGTCCCTATTAAATGAGAGTTTGTTATCTTATCAACAATGTTGTGTCATATTATATCATGTTAGGATTGGCCATAGCCGATCCCTTATAACTACCTAGTTAGCATACATAAGTGGGATCTTTCCCCTTACACTGTAACCTATACACCGTCAATACATCTCCCTCAGGAGGCGTGCTGACTTACTAGACTACAACCTAAGAGGATAAAGATAAAGAGCGTACGTGCTCATAACACTTTTTTAATTTGTACATTCAACATATTGCTTGATCAACAATAGTTGATACAAAGAAACAACTCTCTAGAAAAGTTTTCATATTGCGCAATGGGCAAGAATAAAACAAAGCAGAATCAGAACTTCAACTGCTATTGAAAACGCATATGCTGATAGGGTTGGAATCAGTGATTGGACTGTGACATTCTCGCACCTTTAGTTAGTTACTTAATGGACTTATTTCATTGCTGTAGTTATTGCTGTGCACACAGCCATACTGCTGTATGCATTCTTATCAACACCTCTGAGGCGGCCGGCCAGGTGGATTTTCAACCTAGGAAGTAACCAAGTTTAGGAGGATTATAACGCAGTCGTAGGATCATTTTCACCGGGCTTAGGTTGAATGATACATCTTATTAGGTTGATTTCATTAGGTTAAATACTATCCTAAAATGGCCGAATTCATCCTAAGCCTACCGCCATGCATATGGCATAAATTCATCCTAGTGTAGGCTGTCTCAACTAACCTAGTGTCAACCTATACCGTGCTCAATTATGGCTGCCTTGCTTAGGATGTTTTTCACGCCATTATGGGGTAATTTCGGCATTTGGACCCGACAAATCCAGCTGCCATATATGGAACGGGGATGCATATATATTGTGTACGGTGACGCGGTAGATACGGTACTGGGGTAGACACGGGTAGATAGTGAATACAGACTGTCTGCGTGCGCCCGAGATTCACAAAGAGAGGACCCAATGCGGCTAATCGTCATCCTGGGAGGCGGGCTGTCAGGATGTCAATATCGTGGGATCGTGCCAGCGGGAAGCGAATATACACACTGCGAGCTCTTTCTCATCGTCCTGCTCCCCCATGCTGTCGTCCTCATCGTCGGACGCTGCCACCACCTTCTTCTTGCCTTTCGTTTTGGTGGATACCTTGGCAGCGGCACCGGTGTTCTTGGTTTTCTTGCTGCATGAAGTGGCAGCTTTCTTGGCGGCAGCGACGGCGACAGCTCTCTTCGGCGCGTTGGCAGCACCGGTGCGCCTCTTGCGCGACGCCGACGGATTCCTCTTGGCTGAATTGGCCTTGAGGTAGGTGTACTTCTCGGGTACATCAAGCGCTTGCTGGCGGTAGGCATGGCGATGCTTGTTCTTTATGTACTGCTTCACAATTTCCTCGGTGGCCCAATCATTGACATAGTCGCCAAGAATGGGGTGGCGCGCGCGAGCCTATATCGAAGAGATGATCAGCAGATACAAGCTTCAGCACACGGTCACTCACCACATCAAAAAGCTTTGCCTTCGCAGCCGCTGCAGTCTCCGCCCATGGACGCTCCCAGTCAATACCCGCCTGCAGAGTCAGGTCGCGTATGTTACGCTACACATACGTTAGCGCTGTACAAGGATAACAACATGCTGTGACGTACCATAAGACTCTTGTATATCGCACGATTAGCTCGGCTAGCCCCAAGTCCCATCTCGTTCTGGATATTGAAGTCGTTGCCGGCCGAACCTGCAGGTCGAGGGATCTTATCGACAGGGTCGCCTGAAGCCGATCTGGCATTGCTGAGCTCGTTCAGGAGCCTCTGAAGCTCTGCGTTCTTCGCGCGCTCTTTCTCCAGTTCATCTTGGCAAACATGGGCGTCAGTGGTACATCTAGAGACTCAAGATACAGCAGACAGACCAGAGATTAGCTCTTGCCCCGGGTCCGGGGACTCAGCACGATTGTCATGAACAGATTTCTTATCTAATCTGATCGGACTTGATCTGAGCTTATCTGAACTTATCTGATCTGATCGGACTTTGTCCTGGCTGTCCTTGACCTTATCCATGACCATCTGCACTGTAGATCAGAGTAGACACTATATTTAGTTACACTTACTAAGCGCTGACTGAGTGCTGACTGAGATCTTACTCATCTTTCCCATGAAGCTTACAGATCTCTTACATATCTTTCCCATGCTGACTGATAGCTTACTGATCCATTGCATCGTTATTGCACTATCTATTGCACTTGTAGTAGTATATGTACAGCCTGTTGTAGTTGTAGTTCCCCAGTCTTGAGCTGGTCATATCTCCACTAGCAATACAGTGCTCATTTCATCCTCTCATTTCCTCTCCTCCTCTCTGAGCTTGAGTAAGACCTTGGCTTTCTCTGCACTTCTAAAGTGTATTGGCCAGTGTGTCTTACAACGATCATCTCCATTGGCGGGTGATGCGACATGGTCGCCACCATTGAGGACATGTGATTTAAGAGCCTCGAGCTCGCGCAAGAGCTTCTGGTTGGTGGCGTCCTGGGCCCGGATCCTTGCGTCTTGCTCGGCCACGACCTCTGATGGATGGTGAGGATATGTATGCAGTGTCACGATGCACTCACGCCGAGCACG